AGAGAGAGAGAGAGAGAGAGAGAGAGAGAGAGAGAGAGAGAGAGATGCCTATAGTTATATTTATGCTTTGTTACTGATTTTTTGTGAGCTTTGGTAAGCCCATTAACTACTGAGGATTATAACTTTCTTTTAAAAATATTTTATTTATTATTTTCATTTTATGTTTATGTGTGTATTGCCTGCATGTAGGTAAGTGCACCTGTGTCATGCAATGCCTGCAGAGGACAGAAGAGGCTGTCAGATCCTCTGGAACTGGAGTTAGGGACAGTTGTTAGCTGTCATGTGGGTGCTGGGATTTGAACCCAGGTCTTCTGCAAGAGCAGCCAGTGTTCTTAACTGCTGAGCCATCTCTCCAGCCCCAAGGATTATAGCTTTCTTATTTGTAAAATAAGAGGCTTAGACCAATGTACCTTTATAGTCTTGTTAGATCTAAAATTGCATATTATTTTATTTTGAGACAGAGTCTCACTCTGGATGGCCTGGAACTTGCTATGTAGACCAGGCTGCAGTTAAATTCACCTGCCTCTGCTTCCTGAGTTTTGAGATTAAAGGCGTGTGCTACCACATCTAGTCTGAATACTGCTTTTAAATAAGTGTTTCATTAAAATGTGATCACCACCACGGGTATAAAGCAAAACTTTATACGTGGTGGTGATCACATTAAAGGTATACTATAAATTATGTGAATTTAAGTAAAGAGATCCCAAATAGGAAGACTGGAATGGACTGAGTGGAGTTAGGGATTTTCAGTTTTCTTCTGTAAAGAAGAATGTAGGTGTTCCCTGCAGAGATCCTGAGTGGTTAAATTAGCATCTGCTCCTGATACCTGTAGTTGTTTGCTTGTCCAGTAACTTAATTTTGCTTCCATTTCTATAATTAAGACTGTTTGGTAATATCTAATAAAGCTGATGATGCAAATATTGATTTAGCAATTTCAGTTTTCGGACATTCTTCTACATTTTCTACAAAAAAGACAAATAGAATTCTTTGACAACATTACAACAGAAAGAAAATTGGAAACAACTTAAATAGCCATGGGCAGGAGAACACGAAGATATGTTGATACAGTGAAGTGTTATACCAGTGTATAAAACTGTTAGTGTTGGCTAATAAAGACAAGTTACAGAATACATGCAGTGCCACATGTGTATCCAGTGTTCAACATACAGTAGATGCATACTGATGTCTAGCCTTCTGGCATAGCAAGGCTGTGCTGTTTATAGTCACTCAATTGGTTGTGACAGTCTTTCCCATTGGTTGATACCGGTACTAATATTTGGCATCTACTATCACTGCATGGTAAAGGCAACCAGAATTCATAGGAATTATAAGCTGTACAATTGGGACCATGAGTCCTTTAGTGGAGGAAGGATGGAAAACTGAGACGAGGAAAAGCTTGCACTGTGTGCTTCTGCTATATTATCAATGCCACCATTATTAATCGAGGTTGTGTATACAAGTGTAGTCAGATTACTCTTTAGATGCTTTGTATATTTTAAGTATTTCTTTAAAAGGCTGAAATAATTTAAATAATGTTTTGTCTTTATCTAGGCTGTCCTGGGGCTTAATCTATGCTGGCTTCATCTTTATTATTTCCATATTCATTGCAATTATTATAACATCTGCCCAAATTATAGTCATGACTGGTTTCTTTGTCATTTTTACACTTTTTTTCTTATATGGCTTATCATTGGTAAGTGTATATATTTATTACCACCTTATACATGTTACATCTTAGCTACACATAGCAAACATTAATGTCCCCGGAAGTTAGTATAGTCACTTTTTTCATGTCCTCTGTGTGTGGGGGGGGTGGGGTGGAGTGGATGTGTGTATGAAACTCAGGATGGATAGAAGATAATGTAAACCCAAGTAAAATTGGATCTCTTTTTTCCACAAAGGTCTGATGTATGAAGTGATGCATCACAAAAAAAAAAGTGTTTTTAACTCCCAAAATACTCAAGGATTTTTTTAAGTGTCACATGTGATCTGAGTAGTGCTTATGATGATGATGGTAGTGGTGGTGGTGATTAACATGTACTTTTAAAGAAATTCGTGGGATTCACTGTGATGTCTCCGCATCTGCTCTTTGATCTGCTTTTGCCTCCCAGGATCCTTCCCGGTCCCTAACAGTCCCTTTTTTCTCTGCCCTCCCCTCCTTGCTCTTCTCCATCTCTAGTAACCATTATTTCATTCTTTACTTCCACAAAGTAACTTATTTGGCTTCTTTAAGGGAATGAGAACATGTGGCATTTACCTTCTTGTGTTTGGCTGTTTCACTCAATATAATGTCCTCGAAACTTCATCTATGTGGATGCTGATGCCAAGATTTCCTCCTTTTCATAGCTGAGTAGTATTCCATCATGTAAATATACCACAATTTCTTTATGCACAAATGTGCTGAAAGGCATCTGGGTTGATTCCTTACTTTGACTTTTACAAATAGTCATACAGCAATTATGGTAGTGCAGTAATCATTTATCTATAATATTTACTTATAAATATGTCATCTTAACACATATATACAAAATAGGATGCTGGATTATATGGTAGGGTCTATTTTCAGTTTTCTAAGGAGTCTCCATACTGTTTCCACCATGGCTGTGCTAATTTACATCCTTCTCCGAAGCTTATACTATTTCCTTTCATCACCCACAGAAATCGCACGGAATCTATCAGTTGTTTCAGGTGGAACAGCCACTTTTAACAGCATTCGTTCTTCTGATCCATGAACACAAGACATCTTTCCTTTTCGAGACAAGGCCTCACCGTGTAACCATGGCTGGTTTAGAACCCGCTATGGCTATGTAGACCAGGTTGGCCTCAATCTCATAGAGATCTGTCAGCTTCTGTGCCCTGAGTGCTACAATTAAAGGCAGGCACCACCATGCCTGCCCCATAAATGAGATTTCTTTTTCAGCAAGTTCAGTACGTGGATGTAGAAACGTTACTTTTTGCATTGTTATTTATTTATTTATTTTTGCTCTTTTTGAGACAGGGTCTCCCCTATAGCCCCAGCTGTCCTGGAACTCACTGCGTAGACAAGGCTGGCCTTGAACTCAGAGATCTGCCTGCCTCTGCCTCCCAAGTGCTGGGATTAAAGGCGTGCACCACCATGCCTAGCATGCATTGCTGTTTTTATGTCCTGTTTATTGAATTCATCATTGTTTGGTAATTTATTTTTTACTGAATTTTTGCAATTTTCATACAATATAATTTGATGGTAGTTAGAGTCCCTTACCGATCTGCACTTCCCCCCAACCCAATTCAATGACATTCCAAGGTTTGGTAAGTTTTGGAGAGAGTATTTGTACTTGTCAGTATGTATAGAATCATGCCTTCTGCAAACATGGACAACTTAACTTCATCCTTTCCAATTTGGACACCCTTTGTCCCTTTCTGTTACCTACTGGACCTTACTAAGACTGCCTGGTGAACGTGCAAATCTTGCCTTAGAGGAAATGATCTCAATTCTCCCCCATGCCATATGACGTAGGACATAGATACTGCCTTTATTAACTTGAGGCATGCTCCTTCTATACATAATTTTCACAGCCTATTCCTTTTTCTTAATCGAGCTTTTAAAATTTCATACAATATTTCCCACTTAAATCCAGATGCCCTCCCCTTAGCCCCCGCTGAACCCTATGCACTCTGCCATACATGCTGAGTCCTATTCATTCATGTTTGTACCCAAATGTCCTTCAGTGTAAATCCATCCACTGGAGTCTAGTCAGCCCATTCAGTGGTTGTATGTAAGTCATGCTCTCCCTCACCCAGCAGCAATCAGCCTCAAATAGTTCTCAATCTAGTGCTGACCCGCCACCTATTTCTCACCTCCCCTTTGGGCCCTTAATTGAGCTGACATGAGTGCGGCTGTTGGACACCGCTGGAGGTGCACAGGAACAAGGCACCAGTGGCCTGGAAGCCTCCACCTCACATTCATGAACCAGCCTTGGCTCTTACAATCTTTTCACTTCTTCAGCGATGGTCCCTGAGCCCTGGGTGGGTGAGGTTCCGTATAGGAGTCCCATCCTACACTCTACAGTCTCTTATTCTCCAAAACTTGGTCAGTTGAGGCCTTCCGTGTGTATCTGATGTACAAGGAGCCTCACTGGTGAGAGCTGAGGGACGCATTAGTTTTCTCTCTACCCCTTATTCTGCTGTGTTCCGTGAGCTTTAGTTGTAGAGATTCAACTGCAGATGTGTCGCCTAGTACTGGGCATCTCCCAGGCGTGTGTTCTCTGTGCCTGACCAGATGTGCAACTCTGCAGTAGCGTCCATCTGTTGTAAAAAGAAGCTTCTTTGATGACTGCTGTAAGGCATGCTTGTCACTCTGAGGGAGGGCTCTTCTAATCTTGCAAATGCAGTCCCTGCCAAGCAGCTCCCAGGTATACATATGCATTAATGTTCAGACACTCTACGTGCATTTCTCATACGGTTTCTAGGGCATCACTTTTCCCTCTAGGTTTCCAAGCCCCCCCCCCAAATTCACTCATCTCTACTCTTTTTTCTCCCATCTGGCCCCCCTCCCTTCCTAATCACTGTGTCCCCATTATCCCCACCTTTCCCCCAGTACCTCCAGACTCTGGCCATCTTTCTGTTCCTGACTTCCCTTGCTCCACTTCCCCCACACTCTGGTCCCTTGCATGTCCCTCCCTCCTCTCCTCCCTACCAATGACAACTTCTCCACCTACCTCAGGTAACATCCGTTCCCTAGAATATTTCTTGTAGGGCTGATATGGAATGATGAATTCTGAGTATCTGGGAAAGACTTTATTTTTCCTTCAGTTCTAGAGGATAATTTTGGTGGGTATAGTATTCTTGTTTGTTGGGTATTTCCTTCAGTATTTTTAATATATACATTATCTGGCTTGTAAGACTTCTGCTGAGAAGTCAGTTGTACATCTGTGTTCCCTTCTATGTGACTTAGGGTTTCTCTCTTGTGTTTGTGACACTGTGACTACAGTATGGCTTGGTGAAGGTCTGTTTTAGTGGGATGTATCTGAGTCTTTTGAGCTTCTCCAATATGGATGTCCATATGTCCATGGTTCTTAGCCATGGTCTTGTTTATTGGGCCCAAGAACTCATCCCCTTCAGTCCTCAGACTACAGCGTCTCATTTTTTGGGGGGGGTGTCTTTTTAAGACAGGGTCTCCCTGTAGCCCCAGCTGTCCTGGAACTCACTATGTAGACTAGGCTGGCCTTGAACTCACAGA